AAATAGTTTTTTTCTAAGAAGTACATATTCGCAAAACATTTTGCGAATGCGAATGCGAATGCAAATATGCAAAAAATTGCGAATATTCGCGAATGCGAATGCGAATATTCGTTACATCACTAGTGGGGAGCGCATCTCGTCATTTCATATTGATTCGTGTACTGAACGGTTGTGATAAAATTATTGTTAGTTCTTACATAGTAAAAATAAAGAAAAGTGCAATTTATTGTAATATATCATTGTAAATTAATTAATTAAATTGTGTTTTTAAGCGATTTGAGTTTTTTAATAAGTTTAGTTTTTGAAATGAATAGAAATTGACCTTATTATCGATGTTATCAAAAGGTTGCCAAAATACGAGTCACATTATCGTAGAGAAAAAAACTGCGATGCATTATATCAGTAGCCCGGAATGACGGTACCAAAAATATACGAACTATTCAAAATAGAATTTGAAAAAGTATTTGGAAAAGATGAAAAATGTCCGGCCTTCAATACTGTTAGAAAAGTTTTTGTACAAAAATTCAATTTTAGGTGCAAGAGCCTTAAAAAAGACACATGTAACAAATGTGATCTTTATACAATGGCATTGAAAAATTCTACTACCTCAACTGAAAGAGCAAGTGCCCAAAAACAAAAAGAAGAACACCATAAAATTGCCGAAGATTTGAGGAAGAAGATGAACGAAGATTTTGAACTGGCTAAAACTTGTGTAGAAACTGAATGTCTAACTTACGATTTGGAGAAAACATTGCCGTTACCTAGAATACCGACCAATATCGTTTTCTACAAACGGCAGTTATGGGTATATAACTGCGGTATACACTCGGGTTCCAACGATGTTGGGAATTGTTTTGTTTGGGCTGAAAGCGAGGCTGGTAGAGGGGCCCAAGAAGTGGGTTCATGTTTGAGAAAATATATTAAGTGCATGCTACCCCCTACAGTGAAAAAATTGATCTTGTGGAGTGACTGTTGCGGGGGTCAAAATAGGAATATAAAAATCGTTTTGATTTTAAAGGCTTTATTAGGTAGCCACCCCACTCTAGGGACAGTCAGTTTCCGGTACCTGGAATCAGGACACACTTTCCTTCCGAATGACAACGATTTCGCAAAAATAGAGACTCGGCTCAAGCAATATGAAAGGATATACTCTGTGGATGACTATATTGCCATTATGAAACAATGCAAAAACAAAAATCCTTTACAGGTGCATAAAATGGAAAGTTGTGATTTTTTTGGATCTCAAATTCTAGAGAAGAACATAGTTAATAGAAAAACATTTAATGATAAGAGCAAAGTAAACTGGCTAAAGACTAAAGAAATTTTAATTACAAAAAAGAGTCCACATTCTTTGTTCATGAGAACTTCCTTTAATGAGGATTACAAAGAATTGAGCATTAAAAAGAAATTTAAAGGTGTTGCTTTGGCTGTCGTAGAAGAAGATTTGCAAGCATTATGGCCTTCAGGAAAACGGATTAACAAAAAGAAGTTAAATGATTTGAAATCGTTATTCCATCTTATACCAAATGATTGCATTAATTTCTATAAAAAATTGAAGGGAGACGATGCAATAATAGACGATATAGATGGTTATTGTGAAGAACCTGACTTTGATTTAGAGGAAGAGTAGGGTAACGTGCCGGGAGCTCTCCCTATCGTGGCCACTGTGGAGAAGTGGGACATTTAACATCTGCGTGTACTAAAAAAGTGGAGTCCCTTAAATGCGCAACTTGTTCTCGTTTTAACAAACCCAGCTAAATATACTATAATGTTGCAAAGTTTTGCCTATCCCTTCGGGGATTTATAGTTATATATGTAGGTATATCCTATGTATAACTAATAATTAAATATGCACCTCTGCCTATCTCTTATAAGAATGTAAAGTATGAGGTTTTATTTTGTATGTACGTATGTATATTGTATGTATATTTTTAAAAATAACATGTTATCCTATAAAAATAATGTATAGAGCTTCTTTCGCCTGCGATACAGGGTCCTTAGACAAAGTAACATCGCTTAATAGCGAAACGAAAAGTAAATTCGTCATCGTCTCTGAGATAACGATAAACATTTCCTAGCCAATGTAACACTATAGTCGTGATCGTTGTGTCGGATTGCTTATTCGGCAAAAAACAAAAATATTGGTTATGGTATCGAAAATCAAGCTGTCAGTGTCAGTCAAAAAGTTCAAATCGGATCAAACCCGCGAGATATTGATGTTTTAAAATTTTATTAATAAGAAAGTGAGTGTTGCGTTTAATTGTTTTTAAGTTAAAATATAAACGATACTTTTACAGTGGTAAGTGAATAGAGTGTTATTACTTTTAGATCGTTTCCAAAACTTAATGATAATCAAAATAGACTCATTTTTATAAGTGACTGGTGTTCAAACGAAGATGGATCTCTCTCTATTTCTTATCTATTTTAATATTTAGTGATAAAACATGGAATCAAGAATGTGAGCAAGTCCTGAACAATTCGCAACGCTGCTCGAGTACGTAAATCTAAGTAAGAAAACGTAAGTAAATCTAAGTATAATTCATGAGTAGGTATGTTATTTAATTCTAGGACATAAATTACTTATTTGACTGATCAGAAAGACTGTTAGGTTCACTAAGTTTCTTTCAGTGCCATAAAAGGAAAAACTACCTACAATATATTTTCTGTTGACTTAGTTATCTTTTTTTACTTTTCTCTTTATTACTTGATTATTTTCTAGGTATTCGAAACCAAAAGCAATTAGACTCTGTGAGTCTAATTGCTTTTGGTTTCGAATATGTTGTGTTTTGATACTTTTATTTTGATAAATAATTAAACATTTATTCCTTAATTTGTGTATTTTTTCACATGTATGAATCTGCCCCATAGCCTGTATGAAAGTACCCCGCATGCGGGGTACATTCATAAATTACTGTTTTTTTTTAACTTTTATAAAAAGTTACAGATGTATATTTTAACAAATTATATGTTTTTAATAGAAAGTCAGATAGTTATAGTACTAGTACTTATTCAATCTATTCAGATATTGATACCACAGAAAAATCTATGAGATAAAATAGCAAAACTGTATGAAGCTGTCCCACCTTCCCCTAATGTCTAGCGACTTGACCCCGCAGTCACACCATTGCAACGGTTTTATGGGGCTTAGATTATAAAATACTATGTGATATAAAGATAAATAAATAAATAAATAAAAGAATTCAACAACGAGAAAAAGAAGAGAAAAAGAAAGTTCCTATGAGTAAAATCCAAGCAGTGAAGAACAATTTGAAGGTTATAAAAGCTTCTACTAGTAAGACAAAGAAGCAAAAAAGGTCCAAGCGCAGTCCAAAGGATAATGAAGATCACGGAGTCAAATAGCCATGCTTAGTTTGTTCCGAGTTATACTCATACCCGCCTATAGAGGACTGGATCAAATGTGACGATTGTCAAATGAGGGCCAACGAAGCGTGCACAACATATTCTGGTAGAGGTTCCTATTACTGTGACGGCTGTCAGGAATAACTTTTAATTTTATATTTATGTGCAGAGGTTAAAGTTGATTTATGATGATGATCCAAGAAAGTACAATAAGTTTAGTAAGGAAGACTGCAATGAAAATAAAGACATTGATCTCGATAATTACCCTATACCTGTTTTGTCCAAATGTCGTACCCGTTTTAGGCACCCCATGGGGGTAAAACGGGTAGTTTAAAAGTCTTCTTTTGTTTTTGTCCAAATTATAAAGAAAATGTTTATGTTTGTCCCTATTTAAGATTCTTTATTAATTACAAATTTGAAAAATAAAAATAGATGTTTCATTTTGTTTTCTAGAACTTTTTTTATTGAATATATCCCTTAGGGTACCCGATTTGGGCCCGCCACCCCTAAAACACATTTGGATAGCAATCAGTGGCATTTATTACCTCAAATAAATGGGACACATTCTACATTTGGTGCTGTCCATGTAGAAGACATAATTAATATCGTGAAGTTAAAAGCTAAATTATTGGATTTCGAAAATGTCTTTGAAATGCAAAACCATTTTTGTCATTATTGGACTGGTCTTACAGTACCTCAGTTTTTAATTCTGTTTAACCTTTTACCACCTTTAAATGTTAAGCGACCTAAGCGTGCTTTAGCTATTTACTTAATGAAAGTAAGAACAGGGGATAGTAATAGACGTTTGGCAAGTCTTTTTGACATACCCAGGTCAACATTGGAACTAATCTTGAAAAAAGTTAGGTTATGTCTCAATGAGCATTTTGCACCCAATAATATTGGTGTAAACCATATCATATAAGTGGAGTGACGACATCCGCAAGGTGGCTGGCAGTGGTTGGATGAGAAGAGCTGAAGACCGAGGTCAGTGGCGTGCCATTGAAGAGGCCTATGTCCAGCAGTGGACGAATATAGGCTGATGATGATGAAATATGAAGATGGTCGCATTAGTGGCCTACTTAAAAACAAAAGTTCTGTGTTAACTCCACCTCTGGATCGCCGAGGTCATTCAGTATCAGCCAAGAAAACACCCAGTGATAAGATCAATGAAATATAAGATTTCATCAACTGTATTCCTTCATACGAGTCACATTATTCATTACATAAATCAATAAACCGTAAATTTTTAGCACCAGATTTAAACATGAATTTTTTATATGGTCTTTATAAAGCCAAAGTTTGTAACCCTACCTCAGTTATTTTTAGTAATTTTTTTAATGAAGAACAATTACTAGGGTCACTTGGGGTAATTGCAATAACGGGGCAATTGCAATAGGGTGCGTTTACGAGCTAACTACTAAAGAAAACTGGTGCTGCCATCTCTGATATGTGTAAAGTACTATTTGAACTTCGCGCCGTTCAATTCGCGAGATCGTTTGACAGGTTGATGAGCGAATGAAACGTCATTAGTTGAGTGACGTCGATGCCGCGTGTTACACACTTTGTTATCCCTTCAACTTTCAATCGGTTTTCATCTCGAAAAGAAACGTAAGTTTTTTAATTTATTTTATGATTTCAAAATGAAAAACGCGCGATCTAAATATATGTTAAGTCTTGTATCAGAGCGTACACTTAATAAAACTAATAGTGCTATGTCTGAATCCACTGCGGTTAATAATGAAAATATGGATATTCCAGGTAAGCAACCAAAACTTTGTATTATGTTAAGTTAATTTAAATAAAGTTTAAGCACTTTTAAAGATTTTATAAACTTTTTTCTTAACTAGTAGCTTCCAACGCGAAATAATTAAAATTAGTGGTTCCAAGTTTTTATGTGTCTTTATTCTATGGAGTTTTAACAGTTGTTTCAAGATACTTAAAAACAATAAGTATCAATAATTTTCGTATTTAAAGTACTCGTGTTAATAAGTATATCACCTGTTAATTTGGCACTCACTTCTTAACATACTACTATATTACTCGGAAATTATACCAAAACATTGGGTTCGAAGTGCAAATGTTACTTTTTTCGATGGAATCGGTTCAAAACTTATGAGGTATATGTGTAAATGTAACTTTTTTCTTTGATTGATATAGAGATATACCTTTTTTCCAACTCAAAATTTCCGTGAAAGCCTAACAATATGTGAATTATTTTTCTATTTTTAGTTTATGCAGACCATTTTACAACAATTTCACGCTATTTTGTTTTATTGACTTTTGTTATACAGTAGGCGCTCGATAATCCGGCGCTCGACAATCCGGCACGCTCAGTAGTCCGGCACTTCGGGACTCAGGCAGCCCGCTCTATAATCCGGCATTTTACACAGCTGAACGCCGGACTACTGAGCGGCGCGGCCGGCGGTTGAATTGTTCGAGTAGTTTCTTTCGCTCGGCAGTCCGGGCCTAACCTCAATAGTGAAGCCACGTGTTTGTTTTACTCGCAGCGTCGCTTTGACAACTCGCAGCGTCGCTTTGACAAAATGGCGGACAAAAAACGTAAACACGAAACATTGAGTTTAGTTAAAAAGATGGAAATTTTGCGAAAGTTGGATAGTGGTGAAAATCAGATGAAGTTGGCTGGTGAATATGGTGTAGGCCGTGCAACAATTTATGATATAAAAAAGAATCGTGAGAAGATTGAAAACTTCGCCAACACTGCTGACGCCGGGACGAGTTCACGACAGACTGTGAAGATTGGAGAGTATCCTGTTATGGAGGACGCGTTGTATACGTGGTTTCTTCAAGAACGAGCTCGTCATACGCCTCTTACTGGAGATATTATTCGTCAAAAAGCTTTAACTTTTTATGAAAAAATATACAAGAATGCCAACTTCAAAGCTAGTGATGGGTGGTTCCAGAATTTCAAGTCAAGATATGGAATACGTTTGTTGACTATAACCGGCGAAAAATTATCCAGTGACACATCAGCCGTCGCTCCATTTGTCGAGAAGTTTAAGAAAAAAGTTGACGATCTTGGTTTAACACCAGACCAAGTTTATAACGCTGACGAAAGCGGCCTGTTTTGGAGAGTTTTACCTAACAAAACTTATGTTTATAGAAAGGAGTCAGAAGCTCCAGGCAGGAAAGTGTCAAAAGACAGGGTCACTATTATGCCCTGTGCAAATGCTAGTGGCACTCATAAACTTAAACTGCTGTTTATTGGAAAAGCGAAGAATCCTAGAGCTTTCAAAAATGTTAATCTTCCACTTGTGTATAAAAATCAAAACAAGGCATGGGTAACTAAAGAATTATTCGTTGACTGGTTTCACAATGATTTTGTGCCTGCGGTACGTAAATTTTTGAAAAGCAAGAATCTTCCACCTAAAGCTGTTCTGTTGTTGGATAATGCCCCTGCCCATGGACCAAATGATGAGTTATCATCTAGGGATGGTAAGATTCAAACACTTTTTATGCCACCTAATTGCACACCGTTACTTCAACCTATGGACCAAAATGTAATTCAGATGATAAAATGTAACTACAAGAAGAAACTGTTATTGAATGCTGTTATTCGGGATGATGATGCCACTAAAACACTGAAAGACATGAACCTTAAAGATGCGGTCTTTAACGTAACTGAAGCGTGGAACATGGTGCCTCAAAAAGCGATTCAATCGTCCTGGAAAAAATTATGGCCTTCACTAAACCAAAATCCTGAGGAAGAAGAAGAGTGGGAATCAGAAGATGAATTACCTCTTGCAGAACTAAAGCAAATGTTGTTCCAAAAAAATCAGACAGAGTTGACTGAACAAGATGTTGAGGAATGGTTTGCGGAAAACTCGGATTCTTTTCCTGCAATGACCGATGAAGAAATAATAAATGATGCTGTTTCTAGCTCTGAACAAGATGATTTGGAAATGACCTTGCTTAGTCCCACGAGCCCTTCAGTGAAGGCTGAAGATGGCCTGAAATCAATAGATGTCAGTATTCGCTGGGCAGAGGAGAATAACGCTAGTAACGACATTTTACTGAATTTGAGAAAGTTAAGAGAAATGATAATTAAAAAAATTTACTATGGCAAGAAGCAAGTGAAAATTGACAATTATTTGGTCAAAGCGTCGTCTTCCTCTTCTGCGGCTGAAAACGTCACAAATGATGAACCTAATATGTAATTTTAATACATAATTAATTAATATTTTAATTAATTTATGTAATTTTATTTTTATAATAAATTCAACTTACTATATTAAATATGAAGTCTTATTTCCTATACTAATTCGATAATCCGGCATTTCCGACAATCCGGCATAGAGGAAAAATTTCCGGTGCCGGATTAGCAAGCGCCTACTGTATTACGAATGTGTGTTATATGTTTTTAGAAACCGGCACGGGCAATCATGAAGTTTTGGCAACGTCACCAGTGCCAGAAGGAGCTGAAAACATTCAAAAAGACCTCTCCGAAGTATGGGAAGACGTTTTTGGATCTACTGATGACAAGGTCACAGACAATCAGCCACCCCAGTTATGTCTTGTACAAAATAATGTATCAGCTAATGCTACCGACGCATCGAGCTCTGTACCAGTTGCTGAAAATTCTTTAACAGATAACCAACATTTTTCGCACATGCTTGACAATAACCATGACCTAACGCCTTTTGCGCTTGAAGCACCGTCCAGCTTTCAAAACTCACCAGCTATCAGCTTTAGCGATCTCCCTTCAATTCCGACACATAACATTAATTCTACGCCTATGCCTTCTCCTTTAAATACTCATAAAAATTGCCATGATGCCTTTTGTCCAACTCATGATGATGGACCCTGGACTATGTCACCATCAACTAGTAATGCCTATAGCCCTCCTAACTATTACAATGACGATGAAGTCTCTACTCCACCAAAGAAAAGATCTAAAAAACGGTTGCGACGTACATCTGAGTGGTCCGACGTGAAACGTAAATATTTAAAAAACATTGGTCAAAAATATGTCACGAAAAAAGGTAAGGTAGTGGACGATAAAATTTTAGGTGCTCCGTGTAAGTGCAGATACCGATGTTTTGAAAAAATTACGCACGATCAACGCTATGCTTGTTTTCAAAAGTTTTGGCGTTTAGGAAACCGAGAAAAGCAATGGGCGTTTGTTGTTAAATATTCTAAAAAACTACTGAAGAACAGATGCTTGAATCGCGAAGTGCCTAACAATCGTAAATTCACTTTTAAATACTTCTTACCTGTTATACCTGAGCACGAGCAAGGCCATAGTGAAGTAGTCAATGTCTGCAAAACAATGTTTCTAAATTCTCTCTCGGTTAGTGGCAAAATAATTAAAACATCTTGGGATAAATACGACGGCAGTATTATTATAGAGGAAGATAAGAGAGGACGCCATACTAACCACAATCAGATAATAAAGCCTGACACGATCAAGAGTGTGTGTGACCATGTGCGATCTTTTGCTCCCGTTGAATCACACTACATTCGCAAGAATTCCACTAAGCTGTACCTGGATGGCAGTTTAAACATCTCAAAAATGTTTAAACTTTACAAGGATTGGTTTGATAATTCAGATAATATATATTCTAGCAAAGCAGTTACTGAACGTCAGTATCGGGATATCGTTAATAAAAATTTCAATTTAGGGTTCTTTATTCCCAAAAAAGACCAGTGTGACGTTTGTCATATTTTTCGCAACAAAAGCGATCCCACTGATCAAGAAAGAGAAGTATACAATACTCATTTGTCGAATAAAAATGAAGCTCGTAAACTAAAAAATATTGACAAACGTGATGCTGTTGAATCCAATGGTCAAATTTTAACTGCTGTTTTTGATTTTCAAAAAGTATTATCATGTCCTCATGGTCAAGTCAGTCTGTTTTATTACAAGCGTAAATTATCTTGCTTGGATTTTACAATTTTTGATATGGGTGGAAAGAAAGCTTATTGTTATATGTGGGACGAAACGGTTGCAAAGCGAGGAGCAAATGAAGTTGGGAGTTGCTTATTGGATTTTATAGACCAAAATGCACGAAATGGTGTTAAGGAATTTCGCTTTTGGTCGGACAACTGCGCCGGGCAAAATAGAAACCGTTTTGTGTTCTTTCTTTACACTTACTGTGCCAAGAAATTTAACGTGTCAATAAAACACAGATTTCTGGAAAAAGGTCACACACAAAACGAGGGAGATAGCGTACATGCTCTCATAGAAAGAGAAGCTGCAAATACAACTATATATACTCCGGACGAATGGCGTTTGCTTGTGCGTTGGGCTAAAAGTACAGGAAAACCGTATGAAGTCCGGAACATGACAAGAAATAATTTCTTTGATTTAAAATCTTACGTGAATAATAAGATATGGAGTAAAAACACAGAAGGGGTTAAAGTGACGTGGAACTGTGTGAAACAAGTATTTGTGGATAAATCAGAACCTAACAAGCTATTGTATAAATGTGAGCATACAGGCACCGAGTATAAAACTGTTACTATATCTTCAAATACCCGCCGTAATGCTGTATCTTCTTTACCGACTTTAGAAATAGCTTATAAAATTCCACTCAAGTTATCCAAAGACAAACATAAGGATCTCATTAGTTTAGTTAATTTAGGAATTATACCGTCTCAATATGCAGATTTCTTTAGATCTTTACCGTGGAATAACAATGAAAATAATGATATTGTTAGTAGCGATAGTGAAGAATAATATCTGCAATATTTTAATATGTACTGAGTTTATTTTTATAACTTACTTTCTCATTACTTTTGATTGGTTATTGTGGACTGGAAGAATTACAGTCATTTTGATTTTTAATATAATTGTGTTATTTTATATTACTATATTTTATTAGAGGTACAGACCAATAAAAATTACTTTCTTATATACATTTGTACGACATGTTGTTTAATTTTAAAATTTAATTTGTCACAACTTGCAGTTTATAAATTTATTCAAAGTACGAGTATGCACTGTAGTTTGTTATCTGTAAGAAAACCAATTATAGGTTAAGTACTTTTTGTATCCAAGGTTCCTCAATTTAATCTGTAAGGTAAAATAAGGTTTACTGGCTACTTTGTTAATTATTTATAAAGTTTAATACTCTTTATTGATTTGTTTTATCTAGTTCCTAAATAAAACGGGTATTTTTCTAATTATTATAAGAAACTTTAATTATGTAACTATAGTATAATTATATGGCTACATTCTAAAAAATAAATGTTTAATTAAAATTTTGTTTTTATTAACATATTTTTCACCATGTAATCACATATAACTTAGAACACAATACGTATGTACATAAAACAAAGTTACACGTACACAAGATACTATCAGTTTTACCAAGAATAAGGTTATATGTGTGCATAAGACGCAGGCATTTCCATATTAAATCGTCACATATGAATATAAACACTCATAATTGCCAAATAACTGTTTTTTAATCTCATATTCTTATGAAAAACAATGCTAACTAGTATTTTACGTGCTCAGACAAATAATTAATCAACAAGTACAAATATAAAAAAAATTATGTCCGATTTTGTCCTTGGCAAATTTCAAATCGCTCTCCTCTAAAGTAACAATTATGCAAAAGTAACTTTATTCTACGGATAGGTCGATATATCCGGAATCCAACCAAACATAATAGAAGTACGATTTAATGTTAAAGCTGAAAAACTAACAGATGTTAAAAAACTACTCGAAAAACATTATGGTGAAGCTTGGAATGACTTGTCTGATTTACAATACTACAAAACTGTACTGGCTCATAATACAAACTTGCCGGAACAACAAGACGATGAAGATGATCCTGAGTATTTGCCAGAAGAAATTTTGGATTTTGTTTAACATAGTAATCGTTATCATTTAGTGGATCAGGGCTTACTGAATTTTCGCCTTCTGATTATACCTCTAATAAATGTATCTATCTATTATATAATTTGATATTGATATGATTGTAAGACTCTACAATGTTAGTAAGTACCTAACTACGTACGAAGGAATAATATATAATGTACTAATAATATTGTAATGTGCATTTTTATTGTTGAACCTTTCTTTACCAATAGCCGATAAGCATACAATCATAATGACAATACCTATTTAAATCGGTTTAAGACTTTGAACCGAAATAAATAATAAATATGCGTGTTTCTTTTATTCCTAAGATTCAAAACCTAAATACGTCCCTTTACTACTCAATTACATCAAACCGGCCTAAGTCACGTTGTATTTTTTTAAATTCGCTTTAGTCCAATAATAGTTGCTTTCAAACAAGCTTAAATCCACATCGTGTCCATCAAAACTGCTTAAGTCCAAAATAAAAACCGGTTTAATTTAAAATCTGACTGTTGTTTCACCCGTTTTTTTTGATAATGTTGCCGGTAGACATTATTATGACAGTGTTGGTAGTATTGCTCTTTATTCAAGTGTCATGGATAAAGCAAACAGAAACAAACGCGTTTTCCCAGAAGTTGTTTATGCGTGACTCAGGTGCGTTTGATATGTATTGACTCAAATAATGTTGTAAGTATATAAATAAATAAATATGATCAATCCAGTTAATAATAACGCCCTGCGACTTTTTTCTATGAGGTTACCTTCAATCGAACTTATATGAGAACAATCCTCCGACAATTCAAGCCATTTTATTTATTTATTTAATTGTTCTATAATTGTGTCTATAATAACGATACTCAAAGAGTTAAGGAATAAAATCCGCATTAATGTAGTACATTTAGTTATAACAATAATAAATAAAATCTATGTAATATTAATTATGTGAAATTTCAATCTTGAAAATTTCCCACTGGACATCCTTTTCATATTATTATTACTGCCCCAAAGATATACTGACCACCTACCCGCCCAAAAAGCAGTGTTTAGCTTGGAAGCATACACCCGACTATTTAATTGACACATTTTCTAACCTTCAATGTTGAAGAAACCATTTACCGAATCACTTCCAAACAAAAAATGATTCTAATGCAATAGTATCACATCATTTTGTATAAATGTTTTTCACACACACTAAACAATGCTAATGAAGCCTTTGTGTAATAAAATACAACTGCAAGATTGAAAACGACAATGCTAGACAAAAAGAAACAGCCAATTAATGACAGTCGACACCAGTATGATTCGAATAATAAGAAAGGAACTTCTAACGTAAAAATATTAACGAAAAACAACCAAACCATAGAGAAATCGAACACAACCGAAAGACTGCAACTATATAGTGGGTATTAATATACTACACCTAATGAATAAATCAAGACATAGGCAAGGTAATGAACCAAAATATTAATAAGCCACGTCGTTATTCACAAATGACCACGATGAACAACAGTTTTTTATCCACTCTCTAATCTTCATGGCGTTTCTGTACAGTGCCACACCAATGTATATAGCCAACAAACTAAGCTTCTGTTAATCCTTTGCTTTTGCTCTAATAGTACTGTAGTAAACTATTTATGTTGAATCATTTTAAGTACCTACGTCTATCGATTCACACAAGACGATAGGTACACAAATAACTAACTTTCTGTGGTTATCTTGTCAACTCTTTCCCAAGCCAAATGCCATGCTAAATGCCAATTGCCAATGCCAATGACAGTTTGACGTTTATTGAATCATAGACTATAAGTAATGATGGAGAACGAGTTTTTGGACGCTCTATGTAAATAGTAATTTTTAGTTTTCTTTCATATTCTTTGTAAATAGTTTTTACGTTTATTGTTTATAATGTTAAATGTAGTAGTAGCAGTAAAGTACATGTTGGTATGAATAAATATAAATTGCCATAAAAACTGATATTCTCACTGTACGAACAGAGGGACAGCACCTTTGTCGAACAGTGAGGATGTCAGTCCTATTATTTTCATTTCTGCCATCATTTCTTGATTATGTATTGATAAGAGAAGACTAATAAACATTTGAAATCCGACTTGTTCTTTTATTTGTATTTTTGTAGGATTTTTTCAATTCCTCCAAATGTATTTTGGTTACAATCTGAAGAGTCTTAGGGAGATGACTGGTTATAGAATTACGTAAGTTTTGTACATTTCTTCTTATCTATTAATAATAGGTTATATCATACTAATATATAATTAATAATACTGCCTCGTTGGCCGAGTGGTCGCAAGTGCGACTGCCGGGCAAGGGGTCTCGGGTTCGATTCCCGGGTCGGGCAAAGTATTACTGGGGTTTTTAAAAATTCTCAGTAGTAGCACGGAGTCTGGAATTGTGCCCGGTATATGGCAATAGGCTCACCCCCTATTACATGGGACTCATAACATAAATAGTGAAAAGTGGGTGTTACATTGTACAGTGGCATAATGTGGACCTCTGCCTACCCCTTCGGGGATAAAAGGCGTGATGTTATGTTTTGTGTTTTATGTTATATAATTAATAAATATAAGACAAAAATAGCTTATTTTTATTAGAATTTACAAGCAAGTGTGATTTATTGACAATTTTCCCCTCTTTATGAGATTTATGAGAAGGGAATATTGAAAAATAAATTGGCAACACTGATAAAATATGGCGGCAAGTAGTGAGGTCAAAAACATAATTGGATTAATGTAATTTTTTATTACTTAGCGATTGATAAGATATCTGTTTAGTAAATTTTAATCGTCTTTTATAATTTTAGCTTAGCAGTGTAATTTTTTCGTTTACTTTATGTTGTAGTTTGCATGCACATAGTGACGCCTAGGTGACACGATTAGTATTGGTAATATTGTTATTACTTAGTGGGTAAGTGCATTGCAGTATTTGCACTGCAAATTTTGCAGTGAACACTGTTCATTGAACAGTAAGTTCTGAGTTCACTACACTGAGGTGTTTTTTTTCCTACAATTTTGGCCCCGGCGTGTACTTCTAAAACAAAAGAGTCAAATTACGTGAAAAAAATCGTAGAACCTGAAAAATAATATATTGGATTTATTTGCGCATTTGTACCACCTGCAATAGTCGATCGAAGATGTTAAAACCTGCAACCCAAGAATTTCAGTCAGGCACTGTCGTGATTTACTTCTTCGTTAATGCGTTTCGTTACTTCATTTTATGAAAATTAAAATGTATTATTAAGGATTTTTTTCTGTGTTACAGATAGTTTTTTTTTTTCTAGTTACATTTGTCGTGAATGATTATAGAAACAAGTATTTCTAAAAGTACATTTATTTCACAATTCATATTATTTTTTGCGTTTGGTTATCTGCCGGTCAAAAAGACCGGGCACCAAAGCCAGTGCCGATACTATTTTTCTACTGTTGTCAATGTCATTCAATTCAAATCATTCCGTTCCAATTAATCGACACTGGAGTGCCCTTCCCAAATCCATGTTTAAGACAAAATATAATGCAAAATATATTCCAAATAATGTAACATAATAATAACATAATATGTAAACAATATATTCACATCAAATCACTTTGACAGATAGAACAAATTGGCAGCTGTCAACGTTATCACGAACGTTTCTTTTTACGCAGTAACGTCGTGAGGCAGCTTTTTTCATATTCTTTTATTTCTTAATATATGTGATATTAAAGGCTTTTAAATACTGCAAAAAACACAAATTATTTGAAGGAATTTTATTAGTAATTTGTACCTAGGTACAGGTTTGAGCCAGAAAAAAAACACTACTATTCTATCTAGACATTATCAAATACATTTTGTGTCGCTGTGATTTCGACATAGATTGT